CCAAAACGTTCAAAAGACGTTCAAAAGACGTCCAAAACGTTCAAAAGACGTTTAGAAGACGTCTTTTTTACGTCCGTGTCCACTGGGAATATTGTGAAATGTTGGTAAGTGTTGCAAATGTAAAATTTACCGGTAACTTTATATGTAAATTTACAAGTAAATTTTGACATTTTTAAAATGGATACACACCATGGTATTTTATTTGAATGAAAAATTTGTTCATAATTTTAAACGGTTAAAAATGGTTCTTTGATTTCTAAAAAATGTCAAGCTTGTGACAATTTTTTTTGGAGATAAAATTACAGCTCAACGACAATTATGGATGCGTTGCCAATCCTGTGGCATTGGTTGTGTGGATCTTGCTGTTCTACTATAGTCAACGAATCGTGCAAGAATTGCCAATAAACATACAAAGCTCATTTAAAGCTAAGTAGTATTTTTTTGTTGATTGAAAAAACCTTTTTAAATTAATTGAAAAATTAATTTTTAATTTTATTAATCAGTGGCGGAGCGAATGTGATAATGGCCAAAGTAATAAAATAGTTGACTAATTACAATAAAACCTTAAAATACTACTACTTATATTTAAAAATACTTTTTTTTATGTACTTTTTCTTGTTTTCTTTGGTGCCCCAAAAGACTTTTTTTTATAGCCTGGGGCGACGTCCTTCTTAGTAACTGGTATTACCTGAATTTATATCATAATTTTACAATAAAACAGCATTAAAAAAATAGTTTTCAATACTTGTGACGTTAAGTTTGTGATACGTCATTAGTATTTATATAGCGTCCGAACTTATAAGATGGTATTGAAAGTTCGGTCAAAGTAGATGTCTTCATTTTAAATTAAATATTGAGTACTAGTTTCTATTTTACATTTTTTTATTTTTACAATATCAATTATCAATATAATTATCTGTATGTTTCAGAAAAAAAATTGAAAATTTTCTATTTATGCGTGAGTAATAAATGTTCAAGGTTTAGTGACCGAACTTAGGCGATTTTACGGTAATTAAAATTAATTAAAAATTATTACGTTACAATTTTCAGATATTAAACAAACCTAGAGATTTATTTGTTTAGTATTTTCTTAAGTTAATCGTATATTAATCAAGGTATTTTTATATCAATCAAGCTTTTCAGATATTACTTATTATTCAAGTTGTTGAAAAGTATTTTTTAAAAGAAAGCTAAACCTCGCTTTGAATCACAATTTTTTTTTATCTAACTTTAAAAAAAAAACCGTTGCCTTATGTTTTTTTCTGCTTTTTCCATTCCATTTCTTGGTTATTCAGGTACGAGACGATCTAACAATTTTATCACAACAATTTTATCACACCCCGGAGAAGCGTGTAACTGGGAGGTTCACGCCATTTTGTGTCTTTTTCTATCTCACTCATATAAGACATCGAACCGCGAGCATCTTGATTCTATCTCACTCATATAAGACATCGAACCGCGAGCATCTTGATTCTATCTCACTCATATAAGACATCGAACCGCGAGCATCTTGATTCTATCTCACTCATATAAGACATCGAACCGCGAGCATCTTGATTCTATCTCACTCATATAAGACATCGAACCGCGAGCATCTTGATTCTATCTCACTCATATAAGACATCGAACCGCGAGCATCTTGATTCTATCTCACTCATATAAGACATCGAACCGCGAGCATCTTGATTCTATCTCACTCATATAAGACATCGAACCGCGAGCATCTTGATTCTATCTCACTCATATAAGACATCGAACCGCGAGCATCTTGATTCTATCTCACTCATATAAGACATCGAACCGCGAGCATCTTGATTCTATCTCACTCATATAAGACATCGAACCGCGAGCATCTTGATTCTATCTCACTCATATAAGACATCGAACCGCGAGCATCTTGATTCTATCTCACTCATATAAGACATCGAACCGCGAGCATCTTGATTCTATCTCACTCATATAAGACATCGAACCGCGAGCATCTTGATTCTATCTCACTCATATAAGACATCGAACCGCGAGCATCTTGATTCTATCTCACTCATATAAGACATCGAACCGCGAGCATCTTGATTCTATCTCACTCATATAAGACATCGAACCGCGAGCATCTTGATTCTATCTCACTCATATAAGACATCGAACCGCGAGCATCTTGATTCTATCTCACTCATATAAGACATCGAACCGCGAGCATCTTGATTCTATCTCACTCATATAAGACATCGCGCGAGCATCTTGATTCTTGAAGGCCGAGCTCTAACTACTGCGCTACAGTTTTCCAAATAAATTTTTCCTTTGTTTTCTTTACTAGAAATAATAAATAAATATAAAAATTAGCCAGACCACCATTTATCTGATGCAGTTAAAAAGAAAATCGACTAGTTATTTAAAATAATATGAGATTTCGCCACTGTGAGAAATTATAATTTAAAGACAGCTGGAACCTATATACATCAGTGTCTTTTCATTTCAATTTCTTTAAGGAATAATTTTTTTTTCATTATCATAAATTTAATCACTTTTTGTAGCAATTTTTAACCAATTTATAATATAAGTTTATACTGTCTTATACTATACTATGTCTATACGTAAAATTTACTTAATCTTAAAAACTTAAAAACTTGAATTGCAAAAAAATAAATTTAATGCCATATCCATTTTACGTAAATTGGCGAAAGTATCGAAGTAAAGCGCGTAGCCTGAGAATATGCCTTTAGATTATTTAATTTGAAATTGAATTAACTTATAATCGAAATATCATAAATATCTCACGGCTTTGTATTCAAAAGGTTAATAATATAATTACTTTCTCATAAGAATTTTACATAATGTCTATGTAGGTTGTGTTTTCTTAATGTATGAAATGTTTAAATTTACATATTTTAGTTTATAAGCAACAAGAAAATAAAAAAAATGACGCTTGATAAGTTTAACATTATAGAGGATTAGACGCCATTTTTGGTACGCTTGGAAGTCACCTAATGATTTGTAATATATCATCAGTCGTATATTTCTAAACACTATACTTTTTTTTGAACTTTTTTTGAACTTTTTTTGAACTGAAGAATTGAAATTTTCCTTCGTTTAGAAAAACAAATAAAATCGTAAGTAAATTGTTACTTAATTGATAAATATGTAATTACAATGATAATATAAAAAAATCTTTTTTTTAAAAAAAAAAAAGGAATGTTATAAAAAAAATTGTTAAATAATTATTGTAAAATTATAAAAAAGTTATGCAGAAAACTAACCAATAAAAAAATATTAGAGCTGTATTAAGCGGAGCTTTGAAAATATCTCTGATTATCAATTAGTGGTTTATTCTTTTATTCAAAAAGTTTTTTTAATTCAAAATCAAAATGCAAGTTTGTATTCCTAAATTCCTCATAGATTGCTCGATTGTGCTTTTTTATTCTTATAAAAAAAAATCCGCAAACTTGATTGATGCAGTTAGCTTTTATATGTACTTTTTAATAGAAACATCAAAAATATTTCATAATTTTATATTTAAAAGTTTAATAATACTTGACCCAATATATCTCATATATTGGGTCATCATAATATCAATATATCTCATACATTGGATCATTATAAATATCTCATTGGGAGTAGGGATGTGCGGTTAGCAGATCTCGATTGCGTCATCTCTGCATATTTTACGCTTATTACTTTCCTAAATGCCCAATATCAAAAATTTAACTAACATACAGTAGGTTATGCGACATGAAAATTTTAAACGTGTAAAATACATCAAGCAATTGTTTTTATTTTAAAAATTGTTAAATTATCTGACTTACAAGACGTTTTTATTTTCAGTTTACAAAATTCAATCCTCTATAAAAAAAATAACATGTTTTTGCATAGACTCAATGGCTAGTCAACGGGGCCTTCTTTTTTGTTTGTGTGGCTTATGCTGTCTGTTTAAAAAAACAAGTATTATGCAATATACACAATTTAAATAAAGGTTTAGATAAATACAAAATTTTAAACTTGGCACGGTGTTATCTAAATTTATAAACTTCGTACTTTTTTAAATTTTTTATGTAAGGACCAAGTTTAAAAAACAGTACTTAGTAGTATGGTATCTAGGTGGGTATTATGATTAAAATATTTTTAAAATAGTTACACTAGATTTAAGAAAATGCTGTCAATGATTAAATACTGTCTATTCTATGTTAATATTTTATTTTACTGAAAAATATAGCTAAACATGATTTATAAATAAATACATTCGGAATGTAAACCGTTATTAATTAAACATTAGTTATAATTAAACATTAGTTCTATTTATCACTTTTGTTTATTACTAATAGAACTTTTTTATTACTAATAGAACTTTTTTATTAGTTTCTTTTCGAATAGTATTAACCTTTTTATCGCTTTTAGTTTATATAAAAATATATAATTTATATAAAAAAACTCAGTAATATAACTGATGAACACAAATAACTTTGTGTACATCAGTTAGTGATATGGTTTTAAAAAACCTTTAATGTGCATGGTTTAAAAAATATAAGATATTAGAAATTCAGAAACACGAATTGGGTTTTTAATTAAAAAAAAGTTACGTCACTTTTAGACAAAAAATTTTTTTTTTAAATAATCGATTTTGATCGCATTAAAAAAAGAAGCAATAAAAAAATGGAGATGAATTAAATAAAAACCTCTATTGAAAGTTTTTTTCTTTTAACTTTTCTGTTTGTTAAGAGAAATATGGGCCTTTAATTACACGGGGATAAGATTACACTTATTCCCACGAGAACTATAGAGGCTTCCCCTATATTTGTTAAAAAAATTTTTTACAAAAAAGTTTTTAATTTTTGAATTAAAAAACACAAAAGGTCGGACCACCACAACCGACATCAAAAACATCAACCTTGATCGTAAACTCTGTCTAGAAGAATATTTAAAATAAAATTCTAATAAAAAAAGCTTTTCGTTTACAAATATTTGTGCGTTGTTCGAAATTTTAATTTAAATTGCACATCAAAACATTATTTTTACTTTAAAAAAATGTCAAAACATAAAACTTTGAAATGATGAATGAATTACCTGGCGGCAATCACAAAGGCTGGTAATAAGAGGAGATGCAAACAAATTTAACTTCAACAAAGTGAATGAAATTTTGTAGGTGAATGGATTTTTTAGACAATAAAAAAAGATGCAATATTCGAATACACGCCTCTACCATAAATAAAATCAATATGACTGTAAAATCTTCAACTGTGAACAGCTTTATTTCTAATTACAAATTTCATGGCAAAATTTTTGCATTAACATATTTAAAAACTTTTCTTGTTGCATTTGGTTACAGCCCTCATGTCAATATTAGCTGATAAGTTATTATGTTGATGTTAGCTAAAGATTACACGGTGACTCGGTTGCATGTTTACGATCCACCTCCTTTTTCCAAAGTTTGGATTAACCATTTATTATTATTTGCTATCGAGTCTGTTGTGTCATAATATATATCGAAACTGTACTTTTAAATATAGCTTTAGTAACAATGAGTACTGCGGAATCTTAACACACAAAACTTAACACTTGATTTGCATTTAGAGCACTTCAATAACACTTTATTTACTTGTCTACGAAAGCAAGATTTTTAAAGATTAAATATTTAGATCTTTTTGTATAATCTAAATGTTTAATTAACTCAATTTTTCTACTTCATTCGCTATGAAAGGTTCTGAACCTTTATGCCACCTTTATGCAACCTTTATGCAACCCTCTTTTGAGTATCGTATTCTTTCTATTTTCACTAGATAATGGATCCGAGTACAGACAAACTAATGGAACATTTGAAAAATGTGTCTATGATTTTAAATATCCAGTTATTTTGTCTGTACTTAGTTTTTACAAAAGGTTATTTTAGCTTTTTTGATCAACTGAAAAAAAAAAATTTTTATCAAGGATCTATCCTTTCTCTTCCATAAATTATTTTTATATTGTATGTGCCTTCAAACTAATTCTCATCACAAACAAAATTTCTGATTACTTTCTAATATTAACTTTTGATAAACATTTTCCTATTAAAAAGTGGAGGATCTTCGTCTCATCCGCTTTTTGACAAAAATATTTATGTACAATGTACTTACCGGGAACAATATCCCGACAATTTGAACGACATTTTTTGAAAACATTTTTTTTGGAGTTTGTTAGTTTTGCAGAGAAATAGCTCTGGAAGCTTATTGAAACAAAAACAAAAGGTAATCAATTTTTTAAAGGTTTTTCGGAAATTCTTTTTCTAATAAATAAATATACAAAAGAATTAAATTATTCTGAGATAATCTTTTAAGTTGCGATATTATGGTAGATTTATAATCAAAAAACATCATTCATAAATAACTTTATAATCTGTGTCAGTATCCCTTAATGTTCTAATCTAACGCGCATAATCTTTTACACATGAAGTTTTTTTTTTAGAAAAATGATAAATACTCTATATTATTTATAATTTGGTAAATATCGCATAAGTTTCAAAGATATGCAAAAGAATATATTCGTATGAGAAAAATAAATTACTCAACAAAAAACAAACAAATTTTTTCAAGTCAAAATATTTGTTTTGTTTAACAAATCAGCTAACAGTTAAACTTGAGTTGAAAAATGACATACTTGAGTGTAACTAAAGGGATACGACGCCAAATACTTTATATGTTTATCTTTAATCAGGAAGTGGCAAGTTACATATACGTTTAAAGTAATATCTCACCGCACACATATGCATTAATGTTGGCAAGATTACGCTTCTTTTAAATAATGGATGTTTAAGAGTCAGACTCGTTAGAGATTTTTTGCAGCAGTTGTGACGTCAATTTTAATCTCTGTTAGGTTATTTGGAAAAACCTTGTCCGTGTTAGGCCATTGGTAAGATTGTAATGTTAAATAAATTGTCTATTGCAAATATTGAAAATATTACTTTGGTATTCATTTTATATTATTAATTGCGCTATAGTAAATTTGTGCAAAATAAAAACTGACACTGTTACAAATACCTCTTGATTTTTTTTAAGTATTTAAGAAGTTTTTGTTCTTTGTTATTTCCAATCGTAAAATTTAAAAATTGTCATTTAATTACCATAAATAATATTTATAAAAATTATGTTTTTATATTACTATCATTTCTATTTAATTAGCCTAATTTTTTTTTTTTGTAACTGTGAATTAGTTTATAATATCATAAGTACTTCTTTGATTAATTTTGAAGTTATTTTGTTATTATTTGTCAAAACTTTTTTTTTTTCAAACTAACAAACTATTCGTTTGAAATTTTTGAATGATTATTAAAAGAATAGTTCCAATGAAAAAAAATTCTAAACACATAAAACGAATCAATAATTATAACGTTTTTCTGTATTATGTAGAACATGGCACGCAACTACTCCAGTGAGTTTTCCAATATGGGATGGTCTTCGCCATACAACGGCGTTCCATCCTATTCTTCTATGCCGTCAGGATTTCCGTACCACTCAAATGTAAACATGCATTATCCTTTGGCTCCTAGTTGTGGTATGCAGTTTATGTTTTAAGAGCGTAAAACATTTTTTTTTAGCGATAAAAAGCAAGAGGTTGTTTATCTTTAACGTTGTTTTTTTTTAATCATAATTAAAACTTGACTTTTTTGTTTCAGGATTTCCTCGTAAACAACGTCGAGAAAGAACAACATTTACAAAATCTCAGTTGGAAATTCTTGAAGAGCTTTTTCTAAAGACCCACTATCCAGATATTTTTATGAGAGAGGAAGCTGCAAGAAAGATTAATCTTCCAGAGTCACGAGTCCAAGTAGATTGATTATCTTGTGTTTTCATTAATAGATTTTTCCAAACATTTAGAAATTAATAAATTATCTAGCCTACTCATTAATAACGTATCCAGTGTGTAGATGTATTCAGTGTGTAGCGTCAAACTAACGACTTAAAACTATCAAATAAAGGAAAAATGTTCAAACAACGTCGGCTTGGCGTTGAGTGCTCATTGGGTTGTTCTTGTTTATTAGTGCCAGTTTTCGTACTTAATAGCCTGTTCTCTGGTTTCCATACAGGTAATTAAACTGCAAATAGGCATTGATTGAACAAGTTTACAAATATACAGAAAAATAAGTTGACTACATACTCACTTAACTTTACCTTCAAATCATTGGTATATTAGGATTTACGGACTGCATTTAAAAAAAAGTCTAACCTTATTTCTATCACAGGAGGCTTGATCATGACATTTGTGGGTATTGGTGATGTTCATAAATGTTCAAATGTGGGTATTGGTGATGTTTATAAATATTCAAATGTGGGTATTGGTGATGTTCATAAATGTTCAAATGTGGGTATTGGTGATGTTTATAAATATTCAAGGATTTTATGAGTAATCTGAGTTAAGCATGTTTTAGATGTAACCAGGTATTGCGCAAACTCCAAACTTAATATTTCCTTTGCTTACACCAAATGAGAAAGTATTGTCTATATTCGGATTGATTGAAGCCGGAGAACAAAAATTCCATAAAATGTTTGCCGCACTTCCATCATTCTCTCACAAATATGAATGCAATATTAATAAAATTTTTTCTTTTACTATTTCATACTAAATTTAAATTCATCTTGTTAGTTTCATCTATAATTTTTTTAGTGTCAAAATAACCAACAAAATAAGCGGTTTTTTCATGGTTTTTTGAATATTAAGGTTATTAGATGAAGTTCTCTCTTCTGGCCTTTCGTTAAACTATAGTTTGAATTGGAACAGCCATATCATAGACTCTAGGTGCTAAAATTGGCTGTAACAGCCATATCATAGTCTCTAGATGCTAAAATTACGAGATTTTGGATCAAAAATGTTAGAACTATTGACAGTGAAACAAAACATGGCTTCTTTAAATGAGCCGGTAATTATTATAAAAATATTTATACAAAGTTTAAAGGTGTCTTTAATTTTGAAGGCTTATTTTGAAAAAAGTTGTAATTAACAATAGTCACAATATATTTTTTTAACGATATTTGTATCATTAATACTCATAAAATAATATTTCACAAACCATTAAATCATGAGAAAAGAACAGTAATTATATTAACTTCTATAATACTAAATTATATAAGTGTCAGTTCACAAGTGTTAAAAAAGTTTATAAATTTCATAACTATTTGTTTAGGTATGGTTTAAAAACCGCAGAGCAAAGCACCGACAAAAAGCAAAGCAAGACAAAACTCAAAAAAAAACTTCAAACTCAATATCGAGTGAAAATAGCGATATAAAGCCTGATACCTCGCCTGCTCCATCGCTAAGTCCGAAGACATCCGTTCCTTCCCCAGAAAGCCCGTGTTATAAATCAAACAATAATGCAAGCACTTCGTCTACGTCATCGCCTATTAACTCTATTTGGCGCCCAGCAAAGTCAACGTCGCTGTATGATAACACACATTCTCGTAACTACCCTACTTCACCTATTTTAAGCCCATGTGCAAACAATAGCGTCCCCTATAATCCGCCTAGTTACTTATCGCAACAACCTTACATAAGATCAACACATCATTATCCTTCTTATGTAAACATAAACTCAAACGGACCTGCAGGTAGCGAGCACTCTTCACACTCTTCTAACGGTATTATTGATTTCCCTCCGCATTACCAAAACCAAATGCATAGTAGTACACCTTGGGGATATGCAACCATGTAATCAGTAGTTATGTATATATTAAAGATAAAAAATTTTTCTGAAATCAGAAATATATTGAAAAAGTGTAAAAAGCTAGGCAGATTCAAAAGAATAACAAAATGAATATCAAAAGCAACGAATGAATATAGACGATCCGATTTGCTTCGATTAGTGAAACTTCTAGTAAACAAGTTTTGATGCTTTTTTTTTGATTCACCGTAGATAATTAACTGAATAGTAAAATAGGATTTTTTACTCGAATATTTTTGCAACAGTATTTATCTATATATGCACGCGTGTGTACGTGTATTGTCAACTGTGATTAAACTTATTTAAAAAAATGTGACATTTATATGTTATGTGTATCTCTAGGTATAAACTTAACATTTATACCTTATCAGTGTACAAACTTACTAAAACAACTTTAAATTTACATTAAATATTAAAAAAGTAAGAGTGTAATACTTTTAATTTAGAGAGTTCAAAGTCAAACAATTTTTTACAAGTCATTTTTAGGTGTTCAAATATCAAGTAATAGTCAATTTATATAGGCTTATTAGATTTAATATTTTTATATAAATATTTATTTATAAGGCTTATTAGATTTAATATTTTTATACCGTTCAATATGAACGAATGCTTATAATTTATTAGTATTCGTTTGTATTATTGTAGCCGATTAAGGGATTGTAAATTTTTTTTTTTTTTTTTTTTTTTTTTTTTTTTTTTTTTTTTTTTTTTTTTACATTTGTAACCCTTCTATCAATGCTTCATAAAATATATAACAAATGTCTTAGCCCTTCTAAATAAAAATAAAAACTACATTTTCCAATATGGTTATATTCCACTAATTAATAAACCCACACGAGTTAACAGTGCAACTGCAAGTGCAACTGCAATTGATTAAATAATCACTAATGAATGAAACCAAAATTAAAACAGGAATATTTAATAATTTAATTCAAATTAAAATTTTAAATTATTTAAATTTTTGTGTTTACTTAACTGTTCAAAATGATAATACTTTTTAGAACGTCTTAAAATTGATTTAAATAGACGCTTATAGTTTTTATACGTGGTTTCATTTTTCACAGCTCCTCTAAAATCCTCTAAAGTCCTCTTTTTTCAAAAACCTTTAAAAACTTTCTATTATCCTCTAAAAGGTTAAAGATATCATAAAATCTCCTCTTAAACTTCTCTTATTTATTTATTTTTTTATTTCTTTATGGTAGTATAATGTTCAAAACTCATGGTCTGCAAAACTGCGTAACGTCTGAAATGAGAATTTCAGACGTTACGCGGTTATAAAAAATAAATTTTAGCAAATCCATGTCATCTAACAAAAAATGACATTGTTGACCGCTGTCCAAACCCCAGTTATGTGGAAACATTTAGGCGTTAAACCTTGAAAAAAAAATCCTCTATTTTTATTCAAAATTTTGTAGTTTTGCGAAAAAAATCCTCTAGATTAAATGCAAAGTTTTCTCTAAAATTCTCTAATATCCTCTTTTTCTTATAAAAATTTTATGTCGCCACCCTGCAGTAAGCACAGATCGTTTTTAAAACGCTTAAAAAACGGTTATATTCGTTTAAAAAATTGTTATACTCGTACAAGTTTTTTAAACGTTTTAAAAACGTCCTGCGCTTACTGGGAAAGCAAATGATATGTTTCTTAAATAGTTGTTAACAAAGTTTTACTAGAGATTACAAAATTAGTTCAAACAAAAGCATTATTATATCAACAAAGATAACAAAGGGTATTAATACCCTTTAGGGTATTAATACCCTAGTGCTGTTTTTTTAGATGATTCTAAAATATATTTTAAAATCGTCTAAAAAACAGCGTTTATATAAAAATTTATCAAAAAAAAAGAAAACTTGAAAATGAAACCATGTATATAAAACTATAAGCGTCTTTTTAAATCAATTTTAAGACGTTCTAAAAAGTATTATCATTCTGAACAGTTAAGTAAACAATACGCAAAAAATTTAAAAAAGTAACTAGAAAAAACTTAATTGGAATAGCCTTTTAATCAATCAATCTTAACTCAAATAATGAATTTATTACAGATAAGTATTTTGTTAATGTAGGTTCTAATTTAGCATCAAAAATCGAAACCACAAAAATAAAATTCAAATCATTTTTAAATTCTCATAATATCAATGTTAAATCAATTCTTTTAACATCAATTACCCAAGAGTCTATACTAGAGCCACTACTTTTTCTTATTTATGTTAATGATCTGCACAATGCCTCAAATTTGAAGACAGTTTGCTGATGATACAAATCTTTTTCTATCCGGTAAAAATATCATTACACTACTTAATAAAATCAACATAAAACTAATTAAAATTTCAAATTGGTTTATATCAAATAAACTATCAATTAACTTGGAAAAAACTATATGGACTTTATTTCATTTAAAATCCCAAAAAAAACCTTTACCAAACCGTATTGAAACTTTGCGCAATAAAGTTTCAAAAAATATTTGAGTAATGTATAAACCGAGAAATTTTGCAAATAGACATTGATTAATTCAACTTTATCATTCGCTAATTCAATGCCATATAAACTATGCAAATATCGCATCGGGTAGTGCTAATAAAATTCAATTAGATTCTCTATATCGGCAACAGAAGCATATAGCACGTCTAATAAACTTTAGAGATCGTTATATTCATGCCAGACCTCTTTCATTGGAAATAAATGATCTTAATATATACCAGCAAAATGTTTTTAATGCTCTTTTATTTATGTACAAATGTAAGATAAACCTAACCCCTATATCCTTTCGAAATTTATATGCAATAAAGCAAAAAAACAAATATGACTTAAGAAATGACAATCTTATTCATCAACATTATTCTCATACAAGTTTTGGAAGATCTCTTTTAACATATCGCGGAGCTCCTCTGTGGAACAAAATAGTTTTGAAAAATTTTGATTTTTCTCAAAGTTGGAGTTTTCTTACTTTTAAAATTAAGCTGAAAAAAGTTATCTTGTCAATTGATAATATCTTTGAGTTCTTTTGAGTTTATACCCTTTAAAATAGTGTGTGATTCCTGAATATATTGTTTTATTTTTAAATATTTAGTTTTATATATATTCTTTATGTTGTTAAACGTTATTTTATGTTTTGAAATATCTGGTTAGATTTAAATTTTATTTCTAAACGTCGTTTATTGTAATTATTTAACTAGTTATATTTTTACTGAATTGTTAAACGGTTCTCAATGACAGGATCTTACGATCCTATTTGAGTCTCCGTGTTCTGATATTTAATGTACAACGATATTTATACCATAATATATTGTAATAAGAACAACAAAAAAAAATGTATTGGACAATAATAAACTTACGGAAAAAGAACTGTTAGATGCAACGTTTTTGTTAAAACCTAAAAGAAAGTTTAGGATATAACGATGTCAGTAATCGTATCATCAGCAAAATTTTTAACTATTCCACTATTGCACATTTTAAATTTATCTTTAAAGTAAAGCGTTTGTCCTGAAAAAATTGAAACTGCAAAAGTTGTACCAATTTTTAAATCTGGTGATGTTTCAAACGCTGTAAAATATAAATCAATTTCAATTTTATCTTGTTTCTCAAAAAATCTAGAAAGAATTATGTACAAAAGGCTTTATTCTTTTCTAAACAGAAACAAAATTCTTCACAACAAACAATTCAGATTGAAGACATTTCACTGGCCATGCTATTATTCACCTTATTCATGACATATTTAAAGCATTTGATGAAAACAAATATACAGATTTCAAATATCTCAGCAAAGCGTTTGATACAGTTGATCATAACATTCTTCTAGCTTAACTAAAACATCGTGGCATAAAAAACTCAAACATTGCTTTGTTTAAAAGTTACTTAACAAATAGATAACAATATATATCGTATGACGATGGAAAACCAAATAATACGACAGTCACATCCGGTGTTCCTCAATTAGTTTACTACTCAGACTTTGAGGCAAATAAAAAACACTATTTGATTCATATCAAACTTAAGCAATGTGGAGTTGAATGGAAGTAAGACTGCATGTTCTTTTTGTGAGCATATTTATCAAAATATAGTGCATAACAACTTAAAGTATAGCATGACTGGGTTTAGATTTTAAATAGAAAATCACAAATTTATATTCGAGGTTTTGAGCTGAAAAAGTTAATAAACAGTTATTATTTTTATGAAAACTTATTTTAAAAAAATTCAATAAATTTCTTTAGTCTGAGTCTGGAGTCTGAACGAAAAAAAACTGTGGAAACAGTTTTATATTTTTATGTGTGTATGTATGTATGTATGTATGTATGTATGTATGTATGTATGTATGTATGTATGTATGTATGTATGTATGTATGTATGTATGTATGTATGTATGTATGTATGTATGTATGTATGTATGTATGTATGTATGTATGTATGTATGTATGTATGTATGTATGTATGTATGTATGTATGTATGTATGTATGTATGTATGTATGTATGTATGTATGTATGTATTTATGTATGTATGTATGTATGTATGTGTGAATGTATTTATGTATGTATGTATGTATGTATGTATGTATGTATGTATGTATGTATGTATGTATGTATGTATGTATGTATGTATGTATGTATGTATGTATGTATGTATGTATGTATGTATGTATGTGTGAATGTGTGTGGAGGGAGAACAAATCTAAAATGCGTTATTTCTCAAAGAACAGTCTTAGCAGTAATATATTTTCTATTAAACATCGTGTAGTTATCATAATTTAAAGTTAACTAATCATACTCAGCTTTTATTTAAAATTATCAAAGGAATTGTTTCAAAACGTCATTAGCAACTGAAGCATTGCAAATTAAAGGTGGAAGTTTTAAAAATTCGTAAACAATAGTTAGAGCTAGTTTGTTGTTATTTTTTTGAGTTCTGCTTTTTGAACGACTATTAATAAGTTTCCAGATTAGAATTTAATTAATGAATATACAGATAAGAATTGTTAGTATTTTTGCCGGATTTGCAATAAGGTATTTTATGTCCTATATTTAGAATATAGCAATTTTTTTTTAAATCCAGCAAAAATACTACAACATAAGATAAAATCCTGAAGGGATTTAATAAATGCCTGGCCGAAAAAATATTCTTAAAGAATGTAACAAACGTAGAGCTAAACAGGCAAGCAAAAAATAAGGTTTAAACAGGTAGTAAAGATTGTCTGAAACTTTGATATTTATACCTATAATTGATGTGTGCGAGAAACAATTACTTCACCTTAGTCATGATTTTGTTGTAACTAACTTCTTAATTGATCAAATAGTTGCTAAAAATTTATCCAATAAACTTTTAATATTCTTTTGAAA